TGTGAGTGCGCATGTGTGTCTTGAGATCACTGGAGGTCGTACACTTGTATTCACATCTCTCACACGCAAACGGTTTCTCTCCCGTGTGAGTGCGCATGTGTACCTTGAGATTACTGGAGGTCCTAAACCTGTATTCACAACTATCGCACGTAAACGGTTTCTCTCCCGTGTGAGTGAGAAAATGTCTCTTGAGATCACTGGAGGTCGTACACTTGTATTCACATCTCTCACACGCAAACGGTTTCTCTCCCGTGTGAGTGCGCATGTGTACCTTGAGATTACTGGAGGTCCTAAACCTGTATTCACAACTATCGCACGTAAACGGTTTCTCTCCCGTGTGAGTGAGAAAATGTCTCTTGAGATCACTGGAGGTCGTAAACTTGTATTCACATATATCGCATGCAAACGGTTTCTCTCCCGTGTGAGTGCGCATGTGTATCTTGAGATAACCGAGGGTCGTAAATCTGTGTTCACATATATCGCATGCGTGCGGCTTTTCTCCCGAGTGAGTGCGCATGTGTGTCTTCAAATTACTGGAGGTCCTAAACCTGTATTCACAACTATCGCACGTAAACGGTTTCTCTCCCGTGTGAGTGAGCATGTGTGACTTAAGCATATCGGACCTAGAAAACTTATAGTCACATCTCTCACACGCAAACGGTTTTTCTCTCGTGTGAGTGCGCATGTGTACCTTGAGATAACCGAGGCACGTATATCTGTGTTCACATATATCGCACGCATATGGCCTCTCTCCCGTGTGAGTGCGCATGTGTGACTTAAGCATATCAGACGTAGAACACTTATATTCACATCTCTCACATGCAAACGGTTTCTCTCCGGTGTGAGTGTGCATATGTTTCCTGAGATCACTGGAGGTCCTACACCTGTATTCACATGTGTCGCACGTAAACGGTTTCTCTCCCGTGTGAGTGCGCATGTGTACCTTGAGATAACCGAGGGTAATATATCTGTGTTCACATATATCGCATGCATACGGCCTCTCTCCCGTGTGAGTGCGCATGTGTGACTTATTCCGGTACGCTTAAGTTACACATGCGCACTCACACGGGAGAGAAACCGTTTGCGTGTGAGAGATGTGACTATAAGTGTTCTAGGTCCGATATGCTTAAGTCACACATGCGCACTCACACGGGAGAGAAACCGTTTGCGTGTGAAAGATGTGACTATAAGTGTTCTAGGTCCGATATGCTCAGATATGCCACACCCTGGAGGAGAGAAGCCATATGCATGCGATATATGTGAATACAAGTGTACGGCCTCCAGTCATCTCAAGGTACACATGCGCACTCACACGGGAGAGAAACCGTTTGCGTGTGAGAGATGTGAATATAAGTGTTCTACGTGAGAGCTCGAAACGAGGCAGTACTGAGCCCCCGCGATCTGTTTGATGGAGCCTTATCACGCGGCAGTCAAGGTACATTTCGCCCCCCCCCACCCCCTGTCCATCAATTTCTGAATACCCAATAGTTACTCATCACCGCCAGAAACCTTCTGCATTTGGAGTTCACAGGGTTGGAGACCCTGGATTTGTAGCCGTTACCCCATCGTCGTAGCATACCTTGTTACGTCTGGGGCAGTGACATACAGTGTTGCAGTATGTCAATGATGATATTTATTTTGACATCTTTTTCCCAGCAGGAGAGCGTTAGCAGGCAGGCCCGCGTGCCGTAGGCATGCCAATCTGGCATGTCTACGGTAAATGGAACAGCCTAGTCAGACAGGCGCTGTCTGCAAGGTGTCGCGTAGTTTGTCTGCTAATCAGATTAACATGTGGGGAGAATGGCGTCCACACTCCACATTGACAACCAAAAAACCCTGAATTTTACAGAAATTCAGGAACGAATATACACAGATGTGGCCTGTACTTGTGAAGTCAAAACTCAGTGTTAATCATGGCTATTGCATGGTATGCAAGACAAACTTTCAAGTGGGGCACGGAGGAATGAAAAGTGTTTTGAATCCTAACTTGTAGGGTTGAGTCTAGGGTTGAGATAGTGCCATCAGACATGAGAATATGGCCCACAGTATGCCGCAGATTGCAAGAAAATGGCTTAAATATTTCAAAATTTTCTTGGGGGGCATGCCCCCAGACCCCCCTAGCACACAAAATGCATAGAAACACATTATAACACTGAGCAATGGTAGGGGGGGGGAGTGCAAAGTTAAGGTAATGGCAGAGAGGGCTATTGGACTTGGGCAGTGAGGGCTATTAATAAACTTGCTGCATCTCCACTGCACCAGCGCGTGGCCAGTGCTCAGGCACCAGCTGAAAAAAAAACAATAGGCGTGTTCATACACAAGAAAAACCGCGCTGCTCATCCCGCTAATAGCGGAGATAATAGTGAGCTAATTGTGTCGTTGTTCACACAGGCGGAAATATCTCGCTAATCGCCGCGGTGCAAATATCACGCCGCGGTGCAAATAAGCGCGCTGATTCCAAATTAGCGCAGTCGGAAGTGTTCTTTGCAGCGCGCTATTTTGAGCGCGATTTAGTGAGCTAATTGCGTTCACACTTGTAAAAAGCTCGGTTTTTCGAGCGGGCTGCAAAAACCGGGATTTGCAGCCCGCTAATTCGCACCAGTGTGAACGCACTTAATAATAAAGATAAATAGTGTGGTATTTAGCTTTTGCCAGTTCTAGAATAGCAGAGTAAACTCTTCTATAAGATTCAGTGACGATGTTGTTTGTTTGAGATTTTTAGAATTGTATTCAAGTGCGGAAGAAGAGTGAGAGTCAATATCTCGTTTTTTCACTGGAATAACATGAGAACGCGTGCGTGCAGAGCTCTGTGATAGTTCCTTGTTTTGACTGTGACTTGCCATTAATGCCGCGTCAAAATAACAAACCACTTCCTCAGTGGTTCGATCCCGTCATCGGCACCGCGCGACAATCTGCGCATGCGCCGTGCATTTCTATTCCATCAGCGCAACAGCACAGAAACGACACAATTTAGTGGACAAGTCCGAAGCTACAGCTACAACAAGTTTATATCGATTAGAAAGCAAGTTTATACTATTCCCATTTTCTGTTCATTCCCAGACGTAGGTTGTGTTGCGCACACACCGCGCGGGTATGAGTGCGCGGGGGATGGTTCTCATTAAACTTGTGCGATGAGTTTAAAGACGGCAACTGCCACGTACAGCAAGTAAACCCTGTTAGTCCCAAATGTGTTCACATACGCGCCGAACAATGGAAGACACAGGGATGCCGGTATCAGGAACCTTCTCGAAGGAATGTTCGTTGGGATCGTTATGAAAGTTGCCACGTTATGGCGCGTACGTTTAAGTGTCTTAAGATTAAAGATAGAAGCTCTTATCGTACGTAGTGGCCATAACTATTTGCAAGACAGGATAGGTAACCACTCATCCATTTACCTACGCAAGCCTACAGGCTGAAATAGAGAGCTGTCACCTGTAACTATAATTAACGCAGGCAAAAACTACACAGTACTATCACCACCACATGCACTGGCAGTGGCATAACTTACATGTAACACACTGACAGTACAGAATGCCATAAAATTATACGATTTAAGGAGCATAAACCTTCTTCAACCAAATTTAGCGTTTGAAATTTCACTGGGACATTGTAGCCTCATACATCCAGGCATGTATAGACTCTACTAGAAAACCCGGCAGTCAAATTCTTTCTAACAGTAAACAAATCCATGTTTAACCTTCCTCTTGAGGGTCAAAAGGTTAGCAGACACTTACTCGTCGCATGTCAGCGGAATGTACATTTCATGGTCCTTTCAATAAAGCCATAAAAATGATAGGTCATCGCTGAAACAAAAAAGTTTTTCAATCGCTTCGTCAGACTATGTCCTCAGAAAATGTCTAAAATCTGCCCTGTGCCCCATTGACCTTTGACCTGTGACCTCCAATTTCAGCATAGTGATGGCTTTTCCTACCATGATGCTATACACCGACTATCACGAGCCTAGGTCGAGCCGTTTAGATTTGTGCCGCAATTCTCCCTATAGAGGGTTCCGAGATTTTTCATATTACCCACAATGCAACGACACCGGCCATGACGGATACAGAAACCAGTTCAGGCATGGTACAAGTACATTAAGCAACGCACCTCTGCTCATTTTATATTCGCCTATTAAGCAAATGTATCACAACGCCGCTCTCCTGCGGTGTTGTCAACTGCAGCAATCGGTATCAGAGAGAGCCATGCACACAGCTTTTTTTAGGCTGTCTAGCGTGATCACAACACAAGGTAAAGTGACGAGAGACCAGGCGGACCACAGACGCTTGGAGAATTTTCAATAAAAAAGCAATGCTGAATAAACACGAAATGTATTTACTACCAATGTCTTAATGTTTCTCTACTCTCTTTCGCCTAGTATTGCCGATAATTACCTGTAAATGCCGGTCAAATGCTCCTCTGCAACACACAGGTACACCGCACGCACGGCGCACGCCGCTACACATTTACACTTATAATTTTATATACATATAATGCTATATATCGCCGGTATCCAGTAGGCAGCTGTTTGAGTGGTGGTGATGATTTCTCTTGCACGTGCAGCATACTCTTCATAAAATAGGACCGAGGCAACATGTGAACAGAATTCACCAAGCCCGGCTTTACAATTACAGTGTGCTGACATGATGTCTGTCCCATTTATCTCATCGTTACTCATGCACGGATAGAGAGATAGTAGAATCAGAGACTGGGAGTGCATAACACGTGCTCGGATAACGTAGATGGGACTCTCACTGTTCACATGATAGATGTAGACTGATACACCACTAACCCAACCGCAGAAAACTCGATCGTAGGCATCCAGGCTTTTGTGGTTCTGAAAGTACTTGAGAGTATAAAATGGACTCGGCTAGAATGTTAAGTAGTCAATTCACGCGATCCTAATAAGTACGTGATGGGCACAAGTTGTGGTCCTCGCTCCATTCTCGTAAGGGTGTCGATTTCCAATGCACGCAATTTTCTCAAGATAGCGTGCTTTGGCTATGTCGTCTAGTGAATCAAAGTACTTGTCCATACTACGTACACTTCAGAGATCTTCAGACAGTTGGCAAATGTGCATACACATGTTATAAAACGCTGCGTTTGATAGCTATATGCAGTAAAATCGGTGAAATTTCTGAACACTCGCGATGTAAACAAACTCAAGTCCATGAACATATGTGCTGCGTGCAATCTCGCGACGCTAATAAGCCTTGCGAAACCTGACCTGTGTAATTTCATTGAACTCTAGCGGAGCACCCCAACCACGCTGATAAACCTGTCCATAAAAAATCGGGATCCATGCACCTACTACTAATATCTATTGCAATAAAAACACTATAGGGGGCCTACTATAGCTAATGTAAAATTGGTTGATTGTGCAGATCGGCAGACTATATAGACTAGTACTCGCTCTCACCCACAGGCACTTGGGACAGAGTCAGTAAAAACTGAAAATAATATGAACACACATTCACAAATAGGCCCTACTACCGTACCCCTCTGTTTTAGTTCCACTGTTGCGACACTGTATATCAACTTTCCTTCATAAAAACCGATGTAAAAACTAACGCCGAACGCTCCCGCACTCGCCGCGGCAAGTGTGCTGTGACGCTATGATAATACTATATATAGAGTACTCTATATATATAGAGTACTCTATATATATAGATATACTCTATATATATTATTATCATAGCATCACAGCACACTCGCAGCGGCGA